CACTGCGCGCGCCAGGACGGCGGGGTCCAGCTCAGATCCAAGAAATCCGCGCGGAACTCCAATAGGTGATGTGTAGGTCGTTTTCTGTTCTTATATACCAGACCTCGAGACCGTCAAGAGTGATCCAGGATGGAAAACCGGTCCCAGGGGCTCGGTCGAGACCTCTGGTGGTCAACGTGTGACGTCGGGGGCCTGGGAACGGGGGTCAACGCCAGCGGCCAGAAGATTGAAATTTGCTGAAACCGCTGCCCATCCATTGCCGCCACAAATGGGTTCGCCCTAGTATTCTGGTCACATCGCACCCCTGGAGAGGTCTGGGAGCAGCGGTGCCTATCGGTGCCCCTCTGTCTCTCCCAAGTGGGGATCAGTCAATCCTCGTCTGACCCGGGTCTGGGAGCCACGCTGTTGGGGCAAAGCATGGACTTCGTTCCTTATTTAGCGCTTCTTATGTCTAGTTTCTAGCAGCTTGACTGCGCCCTCCTTACGCCCCCCTGCGACGAGGCTGCGATGGCGATGATGCGGTGGCCAGATTCTCCGTATGAGTTCTACTACGGGATTGACGGCGGTTGAGGGGTGACGCGTCTTGTCGTGTCGAAGACGCCGACTGCGAGTTACTGCCGCCCCTTGCCTTGTGGAAGCGCCTGTGTCGGGAAATGCCAATCGACAGTGCGGAGGCGTTGGTGGGCTGCATGGTCCCCCGCCGTTCGGGAAACGCACTGGGAGAACACGTGGGAGGGGCCGTCTTGGGGCTGCCTTGGGGCCCTGTCAGAGCATCTGGGGCCTCGTGGAGCCCTCTCGAGCCGTCTTGGAGCTCGCTGGGGCCGTTCTAGGGCGCCCTCGGTGCCAACAGTTCTCCCAAACACATACGGGACATCAGCGATAGGGCATTTCCGGATCCTCAACAGTTTTGGCAGCTTCTCAGGTGGCCTCTAAGGCCAATACTGGGCCGTCTTGGTGTCATCTGTGCCGTCTTGTAGGCGTCTTGGAGGTCGTCTTGGGCGTCTTGGAGGTCTCTTGGGCCATCTCGGGGTCCTCTTTGGGTCGACATGGTTTCAGCTGTGTTGGGCTTAGGGTGTGTCTCGGGGGCCCGAACAGGAGGGAACCCGAAAATCCTTCCAACCTTTTTGGGCAATCTGCCATTTTGTCTTCTGCGGCCTGTCTGGAGGCTCTCTCGGAGGTTTCTTGGATCGTCCTGGAGTCCTCTTGAAGGCCTCTTTTCCATGTTGGACCATCTTTGGCAGTTTGGGGCCGTCTTGGTATCATTTTAATTATTTCAAGCCGTTTTCGAGGCGTCTTGGAGGCCAAATTGCGTGTCTTGGAGGTTTCTTCGGCCCTCTTGGAGCCGTCTTTGGAGCGTTTCCGTGGCCTGTTGGGCCGCTTCGGGGGCTTTTTGGGCTGTCGAGGTGCCGTCGGGGGGACTTATTGGGCTGCCTTGGGCCGCCGGAGGCCCGAAAAGGAGCAAAGGCCCAAATCTATAGAAACAATCCATTGCGCAATCCTCGATTTTCTCATCGTCGGGCCTCCTGGAGGTCTTCTTGGAGGCGTTTGCGACCGTCTGGGAGGGCTCTTGGGGGCCTCTTGGGCCATCCTGGAGCCATCTTAGGCTGCCTCGGGCCATCGGGGCTCCCTCTTGGTCGCGGAAGCCGGTGGGGTGCATCTTTTGTGCGCGTTGCCGGCGGCTGGTCCGAGGCCCCACCGGTAATTTTTTCAAGCAGTGGCGAAGCGTCTTGGCGTGCCTTTAGGCCTACCAAACAATGTTCTAAGAACATTTTGTGGCTCCCACAAGGTATTCTTAGAACAGTTCTGGCTGCGATCGTTTCAATTCAACACGTCTAGGAACATTGTTTGTGTTATTCTAACATGTTTGAGTTGTAAGAGCATGTTGTCGTAGGCCTATAGGAATGCCGTGACGGTCGGTCCCTGCTCAACATCGGAAACTTTTTTGGGAAGGACAACAGCAGGCACACAATTGAAATGCCAACGTTGTGGACCGATCAAAAGGGGCTGGCGGATCGAAGACGCCTACGGCGAATCGCCGCCGCCCCGTGATTTTTGCAATCGCCGCCTCTGGGGGGTATTTTCGGCGCCTCTCGGGAGCTTCCTGGGGGCCTCGTCGGGGCATCTTTGGGCCCCCCTTGGGCCTCTTAGGAGCTTTGGGGGCTTCTTGGGGGCCTCTGTGGCAGTCTTCGGGCGTTCCTGGTCCGTCTGGTGACGCCTGCGGAAGCCGCCTTCAGGGCCTCTATAAACCGATTTGGGGCGGCGGAACTAGTGTCCTTTGGCCTATCCCGCCACCGTTCCTGGATTGCAGGTCAGGGGCCTACTGTATTCCTTTTGGGATGTCTGGAGAGGCCTGTCGGAAGCCTCTTGCAGCCGATCTTGTCTTGGGGCCTCCTGGGGCATGATCTGGTTGATTCCGGGGCCTTCCGGGTTGGGGGTCCTCGTTGGCCTGCTGGCATTCTCGCGGGTGTCTTGGGGCGGTGGCCTCGAAATGCCAGATCGAGTTGTCCCTCTTTGGGGCCCTTTGGGGCCGTCTTGGGGGCCTCTTGGGCCGTATTGCGGTCCTTTTAGGCCGTTTTGGGGCCCTCATGGGGCTTTCTGGGCCGTCTCTTAAACCGATCTTGGGGGCACTCGGGGCCGTTTTGAAGTATCGGAGGCCCGACCAAGCGAGAACGCTAAGATATCTTACATCCTGAAATCAATGGTTTTGGCATCGGGGTTCTATTGGGGCTCTCTTGTGGCGTCTAGGGGCCTCTCGGGTCTTCAGGCAGCCTCCGGCGTCTTGGAGCGGTCTTTTTGGGCGACTCGGAGCCCTCATGGACCGTCTGGGGGGCCTCTTTGGCACCCTCTTGGCCCGTCTTGGGGCCATCCTGCCTCCGGACCAATCACGCGTTGTCACGCGACAAGCCCCAACAGCGCCCAAGAGTTTCCAGCACTCCTGGCCGGGGAAACCTTGAAGAGCATGACAGTATCGTAATGTCGAGGGCTCGATGGAACCTGAGGACACTCCACTTCGTGCCTAGGGGCTCGGTGGCGTGCAAGAGTAGAATTCAATGGTTGTTGCCTGTTGTCATCGTGATTGCTCGTGGCGTCGATCGGTGGAACCTTCGACTGCGCTCTTCTTCCCAGCCGCCCCGAGCCAGCATGAGATGGCGGAACAGAAGCCCTTCAACAAAATGGCAGCAGCAGACGTAGCAGTGGGTCCAGCACCAGTCGGAGCAGCATTGCCCGTGCCAGCGCCAGTGGCAAGGCAAGTGCTAACACGAACGCCAGTGGCAGTGTGATTGTTTGCGTCAGCACTTGCGCCAGTGCCGTTCGCGAAAGCACGAGAATGAGCGTGGCTGGCAGTGGCCGAAGTAGCGCAATAGCGCAGCAGCAGTAGCAACAGCAGTGGCCGTGACAGTAGCTTGGGCTGTACCACTTAGCAGTAGTACCCGCCGCCCACACAGATGCCCAATAAGGCTCAAGTTCGTTTCCCGAAACGGCGCCTGCACTGCACTTGGGGGGTTGGGTGTGTGGGCCAGTTATGCTCCTACACAGCGGCAGGATCTTACAATCAGGCGGCAGACCACACCCGCGGTTTGTGAATGATGTTGCTTTCTAGTTCAGGGAGGTGCTTATGCCACGGAAAACTGCTCTTGACTTACATTACAGTGTCTCCACTGAGGGTCTCATATTTGACCGTCGAGCGCAGTCCGTCTTGGACGGCCAACGCGCGGACGAAGGCCGCAATAGTTCAGGAGCACGGTGCCCTTGGTGAGCGGGTTGGTGCCCTGCTCTTGTGCCTTGCATCCTCGCCAATCGTCTTCCTGACGAATCGTTCTGACTCTGGGGCGCCGTGAGTATTGCAAGAACCAGCCTCTCCTGTGCCCGTAACTATTTCACAGGGCCCTTGGACCCGTGTTTCACGTGATGCTCATGGGGAGCGGGGAAGGGTTTCGGAGTGAGGCAGCTAGGGAGGAGGAGGTGGAGGAGGGTATGTGGAGGAGGGGAAGGAGCGTGGAGAAAGGAAGGAGAAGTAGGAGGGGTCGGAGGAGGAGGGGGAGGAGGAGGATGAGGAGGAGGAGGAGGAGGAGGAGGAGCAGGAGGAGGAACAACAGGAGCAGGAGCAGGAGGAGCAGGAGGAGGAGGAGGAGGAGGAGCAGGAGGAGGAGGAGCAGGAGGAGGAGGACGACGAGGAGGAGCAGGAGGAGGAGCAGGAGGAGGAGGAGGAGGAGAAGAAGGAGGAGGAGGCAGCGACCCCCTCCGCTGAGCGGCCGCTCGCGGGCCGCGAGCGCACGTCCGCGCGGGGGGCCGCGCGCGGCACACCCACGATGGCGGGGGGGGGGATCTCGCCGACCCGGCCTGGCCGGGCCCGACCCCGAGCCCCTGGGGCTCGACGTGGGCGAAGTAGTGGTGGATAGTGCTCCATTTCCACCCCCCTGTCCCTTTGCAGATCCTGTTCAATTGGCCTGGGGGGAGGTGTTTCTTATTTGATGTTGTGATCTTGTGATTTTGGCTCTCTAATACGTCTGCTGTTGCATGGTGTATCTAGCAGGTATAAGAGTGCCACTTGAGTTGAGGACGGCGGACTGCCATTCCCATCTTTCGACGTCGACGACCCTTTTCATTTCTCAGGGGCTGGGTGAATTCCGCGTGGCAGGCAAGGAAAACGCCGTCGACCCTCATTGGTAGGTCGACCGTGCCAAATCGAGGGTGCCCATGTGTCCTGTCGAACGCGCGCGCCTTTTCTGATATTTTGGAGGCAACGTCACCTTCGGAAGAGTCATGTGTCCTCTCGGGTGTCCAGTCCAATCAGGTTCGACTGTCCGGCCTGGAGTTGCCGGATTCGGACAGATCCCAGTTCGCCGGCTGGGCCGACACCCAAAAAGAAGAATCGCCCAGAGCTGTCCAGGAAGGCCGTGGAGTCGGTTAGGGAGGAGGCTCAGAAGGCCCAGGCGTAGTACAATACGCAGACGGAAATGTTGGCCAAAAGACGTCGTATCGGCGCGGATGGCCACGCAATGGCGGGGTCAGGGGAGGCGCAGGTGCAGCCAGAGGCACCTTCCGCGCCCGCTCCTGGCACGGGCTCGGCGGGAACCCGCCGCCAGGACCTGCTGTCCCCCCTGCCAGTGCGCTGCCTTCGCAGGCAGCCGCTGGCGCGGCGCAGGCGACGCCCGTACTTGGGGAGGACCTCGACGAAACGCAAAAGTGCAAGGCGGCGGCCCTGGAGGCGGCCAAGGCCCGTTTGGCCAACACTGCTGCCAAAGACGAGGGTGCTGCAGCTGCGCGCCGAAAAGGTGCGCAACGTTCCTGGTGATGGCATCACTCTTACATGTGACAACATCAGCGCTTGGGGCTTCGAGGCTGAGAAGCGGTTGAAGGATTGCACATCATATATGTTTGTTTTTTGGAGACGCGCACTCGTGGCTCTCAGTTCCAAGATATGCTCGAGACGTTGGGCTGGTGCCATGTTGGTGGCGAGGCCTACTCCACGGATGCTGACGACTCCAGTGCAGGGGCGTTGATCTTGGCGAAGCAACATATGGGTCTGTCTTCCCTGTACTTAGAGGTGGCTGACGGTTGGCGGTCCAGCAGCTGTGTTCGACGGTGCGTTGCAACCCTCATGCGTGACGGTGGCGCTGGTACCGATCTATTTTTTTATGGTGTGAGGCCGATTTGTGTCTCGCGCAACCTTCGGTTGTGGTCTCAGATCGGGGCCCGCCTGATGCATGTGCGTGTGTGTGGGCACATGCTCCTGGTTGGTGATTGGCAGACGGAGCTGCTTGACTTGGCGTCCACTGGCTCCATGAGGGAGCTCGGGTTGGCCGAGGTGCCAAACGATGAGATGACTGTCGCCATTTCCAGAGGGCGGTGCGCCGCTAGCAAAACTAAACGCGCCCTGGTGAACGCTGTTTATGCCCGGGCTGTCAAGTTCCAACAGGGCCTTGATCAGGCAGGTCCGTCGGGCTTGGCGCTGAAGTACATGACTGCATCGAGGCTTTGCTCTATCCGCGGTTGGAAGATGGCACCCCCTCGAACCCAGGATTTGACGGTGAATCCCGACGGCGTGGTTAACTTCAGCTGGGACGATGCCATGGAGCAGGCCCGCTTGCTGAGGGCTGAGAGGCCCCATTGTTTTCAGGCTAATTTCAACGCTGCCAGGTCTGCGATATCGCAGCATAACTCGCCGCGCGTAGCGCTGCGGCTCGGTCAAGAGCTGAGCGCGTGGGCTCTGGTGCTTGAGCTCGCGCACTGTTGGAGGAGGGGCGTTCCTTGCGCTGGTTGAGAAAGAGGCACGTGGGCCGCTGCCAGCAGCATCGCATCCATTGCGTGCCGATTGTGCCCAAGAGTCCCGTAGAACCCCCTTGAGCTGATAGGCATTCTAGATTTTGATTTGCACATTCTGCGCCCGCGCGATCCTGGCAATGACCCCGACGAGGCTGCGCCCGTTTTTCCCGAAGCGTGCTTCGGCGTTGGCTCTGTCGAGGGGGGCGCGTGACCTTTTTCCTTTCCGAGGCTTTGGATTCTTGGGGCGAAGAGGAGTCGGCCGCAGTTGGGACATGGACTAACTGGTTGAGCCGGTGAGCCTTGCTGCCGGCCGAAAGTTTTCCACGGTCGCAGGCAGGCGCCCAGTCCCGGGCGGAGAGGGCAGCCAAGAGGGCGGCTTCGCAGGCTCGGTCGCGGTGGAAGGCGAGGCTCTTGGAGGCTCACGCGGGCTCAGCCCATGCGGCCGATCGGCTGCTGAAGCCCCGAGTAGGTCCCGTCGGGCCGAAACCCGACCTGACTTTTCAAGACCAGTGATCTCCTGGTTGTCGAATCGGAGGCATGGGGTGCTATCTGGAGTCCGCACTCCAGGACTCAATCCTTGGAAGATTTGGCGACCTGGAGCGTTGGTGCCCGACCCACGCCACTGCTCGCGCCCGTCGCAGCCTCCCAGGTGAGAGCGGCCTTGAAGACGATGCCTGACCGTCGCGGCAAGGGTGCGGACGCCTTCGGCGGCCGTCGAGGCTTTGGCTAATCTGTTGTCGTGCAATGAAAAGGGGGCGACGGTCCCCTTCCAGGAGCTCCTCAACATCTTCGCCCTCCTTATAAGGAGGATGGAGGCTTGAGGCCCACTGCTCTCTGGAGCTTCGGTTACGCGCTACTGTTGAGGATCCGTAAGCCAGGGGCGCGGGCTTGGGATCGCGATGCCCATGCACTGTGGGGCACCACTCTCAGGTCGCTTGCTGAACGCGCAGGATGCCTCGATGAACTTGAGCCCGAATTAGCAGTGCTCGGCGGAATTAGCGTTGCTGGTGGTCTTCTGGACACCCGGAAGTTTTACGATCTGGTAAGACTGCCTGATCTTGCCCAAGCTTCCTCCGACCTCCGCTGCCCCCTCCGCCTCTTCGTCTTAGCCCCGGATGTCAGCCTAGCGCCGTGGATGCTGACCCTGCAGCAACAAGTCCATCCAGGCCTTCTTCCTGGGGGCGGGATCCTGGCGGGCTGCGGCAAGGCGGTGTCGCGCGCGAGTCCCCATTGGTTTGTCTGCTGGATGTCACTAGCAAGGCCGGCCCGGGACTTTGCCTCAGGTAGTGGGTGGGCGGCGGTTACTTTCGCCTGCCAGGTTCTGGATACTCGATCAGCGTCTCCTTCCCAGTGACCCTTCGCGCCTTCCCCCAAGGCCCGCGAAGGAGGACATGCGTCCTGGTCTTGCCCCAGTGCGATAAGATGGCCTCCTCACCATATTTCCGCCACCAGCTCGATGGCTGGGCTGCGGATGCCAGGGATGGAACTCCTCGGCTCGGCCAGGCACAGGCTGCCAGGGATCTCCGACGCGACGCCATTATGGGGGCCAGTCGCGCCCCCGAGCGGCTCTCAAGGTTTCGTGGCTAGTGAGGACATCCACCGAGGCCTCTAAGCTTTATTTGTCCTAGGCACGGATTGATGCGCAGTGGTCGGCTTCTCCTGAACGTGCCAAAAAAAACAAGCGGTATGTAGTTTGGGAGCCTCTAGGTGCGTTTCAGGCAACCATCATGGACTTCGGCTGGAGATGCCCGTCCATCTCGCGACTGGTGGAGCCCAGCCGTGGCGAATGGGCCCTCCAGGATGTTTGGGCGGCTCGCCCCTCTTGCCTCCTGGGCGCTCTGGAGGCCAGCGTTGAAGCCCGTGCCTGGCAGAGGGCAGCCAAACACCTGGATGGAGCAGGCTTTGGATCTCATGCATGATGGCAATCTTTTCCGCGTGCCCAACAGCTTGAGTCTGCTGAAGCACTCGCCCGTGCCAGCATGGTTCGTTTGATAGCGTGCGGAGGCTTTTGGACTGAGCAGAGACGGTTCGAAGCCGGCTACCGCCCCGCCTGGTCTGTCAGAGATGCACGGCTGCAACCGGGACCAGTGGTCATCGTTTCTGGTGCTGTCAGTGTAACTCGCATGATACAGCATGGGCTCAACCAGGAGGATGTCCGCCCCCCCCCCCGCCCGAAGTTGTTGCCACCAGCCACTTGATCCGCGAGGCGATTCAGGCGCTGGAAAGCTGTCCTGTGTTCTGTTGCCGCGGTCTGGTCCCTCTCTCCTGGTTGAAGCTTCTTCCGCCCCCTTCCTCCCGGGACCACGTTTGGGTTTGGCATCCAGAGGGCCAACCCCTCCCTGGAGGTGCATGCGGGATTGACGGGTCGGGGGGCACATGGCCTAAATGTTCCCCTGTCTTGGGCCTTTGCGCGTCTGAATCCCGAGAGCCTGAATGGCCTCGAATGGGGGTCCGGTGGGGGTCCGGGTGCCCAGGGCTGGTCGACAGTCCTAAACAGTCTGTGCCGAGGGTCGCGTCGTTGGCAATCGCGGAATGTGTGGTGTGGTGTGATCACATTGGTCATCTACGATTTTTGGCTCAAGGAGAGTTCCATTGTTTCAAATCAGAGCACGATGGCCTGTGGCACGAATTATTTTTTTTGCTCCACTCAATGACTGGGGCCTTTGATCTCCAGTATATCCCTTCGCACCTGGCCGAAGATGAATCAAGGTTCAAGGGGTGTTCGGCCAGTGTTCCGCCAGGGGCTATGTTCATCAATGCCGTTGCCGATGCCCTCGCCGATTCCCGGGCCCTGACGTGACAGATCGACACCGACGTGTGCGAGAGGGCTCTTGACCTAGTCGCCCAGGCCGAGTCTGCCCTGCTCAGGAATGATCGTTTGAGTGTTGCGGCTGCGTCAGTCTGTCGCTCGCCGGATCGGGAGGTCCAGCGTGTGCTGGTGTCGACTTCTCAGCCTCGCGTTGCGAAGCGCGCAGCCGCTGCGGCTGCCTTCTCCCGCAGGTTTGTCTCCTCCGTCGTGATGGCCCATCTCAGGCGTGCCTGCCCCGCGCACCCGCCCCGACCAGCCCAAGAGTCTCCTGAAGGAGCTGGGGACGACGGGCCCACGGGTAGAGGCGGGGCGGGGGGAGGAGCGAGGAGGCCTGGAGCAGGCAAGCCTTTTGACTCTTGCTTCAGGCTCCCGCGTATTCGTGAGCAGTTCTTGTCAGCCCTTGCCATGTCGGACCCGCGCAGCAAAAAACTCCACGATTCCTACGACCAATGGGTAAAAGGTTCATATTGTTGTTGTGCGTTCTGTGGCAGATACTCTTCCTCTGCCAACCCCGGTTGCCGCCTGAGTGTATGTGAGCTAGGTCAATACACCTCGCTTGCGCGTGTCAGGAAGGGTTTGCCTCCCAGGTGCGGTGTCAACTCCTGGGGAGAGGGTGACGGCGGGGTGCCTCCAAGCCGTCAGCCTCCTTTCGTAATGGCGGTGGCCCGATCCTTCTTTGATCTAGTGCTTTCCCAGGCGCCCAATCTCTGGTTTCCAGATGTTTGTGCTGCTTGATGTTTCTAGCAAAATTCCCCCTCCTCCTCCTCCTCCTCCTGCTCCCCCTCCTCCTCCTCCTCCTTCCCCTCCTGCTCCCCCTCCTCCTCCGCCCCGAGGGCAGCAGCCGTGGAGCAAGAGCCAGCAACGCGAGGAACAGCACAGCTCATACGGCCGGACCGAGGCATGAGGTCGAGGTCGGTTCGGGGAGGGTGTCCTAATGTTCTTCGTGCTTGCAGAATGTTCATGTGCATCCTGGGGGGGGGATCTCCTCGAGTGGTCTTCGGTTTGGCCTGCGGAGGGCCTCGTGTTTTGGAAGGGGGGTTCTCTGTGACGGGTCTGGCCGTGGTTTTGTGACATGGGGAGTGCCTGACCCAGGAGGGCTGGAAAGTTTATGCCCCCGATGGTGGGACAGTTTATGTTACACCGGTCTTCGGCCACCAAGCGAACACACACACACACACACACACACACATCCTCCTCCTTTTCTCCTCTCCTCCCTCCTTCTCCTCCTCCTCCCGCTCCTCCTCCTCCTCCTCCTCTCTCCTCCTCCCCCTACTCCCCGCCTCCCCTCCTCCCCCTCCTCCTCCTCTCCTCCATCCTCTCCTCCTCCCTCCTCTCCTCCCCTCCTCCCCCTACCACCTCCTTCCCCCCCCCCACTCCCCCCTCCTCCCCCTCCTCCTCCTCCTCCTCCCTCCTCCTCCTCCTCTCCACTCCTCCTCCCTCCTCCTCCTCCTCCTCCTCACCCCTCCTCTTCCCCTTCCTCCTCCTCCTCCCCCTACCCATTCTCCTCCTCCCTCCTTCTCCTTCCTCACCTCCCTCTTCTCCTCATTTTTCCCCTCCTCCCCCTCCCTCCTCCTCCTCCTTCCTTCGCCTACACCACCTCTCTCCTCATCCTCCTCCTCCCAACTCCTCCCCCTCCTCCCCCTCCTCCTCACCTCCTCCTCCTCTCCTCCTCCCCCCCTACTCCTCCTCATCATCGCCTCCTCCTCCTCCCCTCCTCCCTCCTCCTCATCTCCTCCGGATCTCCTCCCTCCTCCTCCCTCTCCCCATCTATCTCCATCCTCCTCTGACTCCTCCTCCTCCTCCTCCTCCTCCTCGTCCTCTCCTCCTCCTCCTCCTCCTCCTCCTCACTACTCCTCCCCTCCTCCTCTCCTCCTCCCCATCCTCCTCCTCCTCATCCTCTCCTCCCCTCCTACTCCGCCTCTCCTAAAACACACCTCCCCTTCTAACCTCCACCTCCTCCTCCTGCTCCTCCTCCTCCTCCCCCTCCCTCTCCTCCAAGCGGACGATGTCCGAGCTTCGCGCAGATCTCCTGGATTGGCGCTGACCCCCCCTCCGCGGCGCGCGGAGCCCGCGCTGCGGCGCCGCGGAGGCGGGCCCAGCGCTGATCCAAGAGAAACCATGCTGAACTAAGGAGGAGGAGGAGGAGGAGGAGGAGGAGGAGGAGGAGGAGGAGGAGGAGGAGGAGGAGGAGGAGGAGGGGAGGAGGGAGGAGGAGGAGGAGGAGGAGGAGGAGGAGGAGGAGGAGGAGGAGGAGGGAGGAGGGGGAGGGGGAGGAGGAGGGGAGGAGGAGGAGGAGGAGGAGGAGGAGGAGGAGGAGGAGGAGGAGGAGGAGGAGGAGGAGGCGGAGGAGGAGGAAGGTCCTATTCATGGATGTCCGTCTTCATCCAATCCTGTGTTGCAAATGGTGCCCCTTGCCCACGGCGTCCCCCTGATGGCCAGAGCACCCCCTCGGTGCGCCAGGCGCGGTCTCCAGGACGGCGCGGGGAAGCTGGGAGCGAACGCCTTTTGGGCCAGGATCGCATCTGGCAGCCTCTTACATATCAGATTCGGACGGGCAGGTTTTTCCGCGCTGCGAACAAGCAGGGGCAGCACAAGCAAAAGGCACAAAATAACAACACGAGCAATTGCTTTCTAGCCAGCTTCTGGGAGGTCCTCGCGGCCACGCCGCGACACCAATGATAGCGTGGGGGGTGAGCAGAGGGCCTGCCCGGCCCTTCTGGGGCAGCCCCCCCGCCCCCTCTTCGGGGGCGGCAAAGAGGGGGTGATGACTAGGAGGGGGTGGATATCATGGCTGGGGCCAGGATGTTTCCCCAGATTTCATGGCGCCTCTTCTTATTCCATTACGTCCCTGCCCCCCCCCAGCGGGGCCGCGCACATGCCGCCGGTCATGATTTGCATCCCCCCCTCTTGGACACCTCCCTCTTGGCCGCTCCCGACCTCTGGCCGCTCGGGTGGCCCACCCGCCGCGATCGTCGGCAGGCCGCCGAGCCGAAGGGCGCTCGCGGCGCCGGCCTGCAGCTGCGCCGGCCGAGGCCCCCACCGCCGACCCTGGTGGCCACCGGCCCGCCGCGATCGTCGGCCCGCGGCGGCGGACGCAGACCCCAGTCGCCATGGTTTTTCCATGGCGTCAACCCCCGGAGGGTCTCGACCGATTCCCTCCTCCTCCGCCTCCTCCTCCTCCTCCGCCTCCTCCTCCTCCTCTGCCCTCCTCCACTTCCTCCTCCTCCTCCTCCTCCTCCTCCTCCTCCTCCTCCTCCTCCAGTCGTCATGGTTTCCCATGCCGTCTATCCCCAGAGGGTCTCCTGGACCGAGTAGGAGGAGGAGGAGGAGGAGGAGGAGGAGGAGGAGGAGGAGGAGGAGGAGGAGGAGGCGGAGGAGGAGGAGGAGGAGGAGGAGGAGGACGGGGAGGAGAAGGAGTAGGAGGAGGAGCAGGAGGAGGAGGAGGAGGAGGAGGAGGAGGAGAGGATCTCGACCGATTCCCCGGGACCGGCTCTTCATCCCGAGCCGTTCCCTGGCGGCCCCGAGGCCCGGTGAGGACCCCCCCAAAGGCCGAGGCCGTAGGCGGCCCCAGGCACCCCGCCGTGACATTTTTGCTCCTGCCTCGGCGCGGGGGGCCGGGGGAGGACATGCTCGACAAGATGCGGGGCATCCGCTTCTGCGTCCTGGGCATCTTCGCGGCGGCCGTGGGCCGCTTCGCGACCGGGGACCCCCCGATCACGGAGGCGCTGTGCCCTCCCTCGCCGCGGGCGCGCGCCGCGTGCGGGGGGCCGACGGCGCCTCGTGAGGGGTGGGGGCGCCCACCGCCTCTTGGGCACGGCGGCGCACCACCGCCGTGCCTGGTTACCGCCAGTCCTGGACCCCCCCTCGCGCTATGGCAGAGATCGCGACGGCAGGTTTTTTTTTTGGGCTGGTTTGCAGTGTTCGGCATCCCGGGGCCCTTCCCGGGCCTCGAGGCCGCCAGAGACCGGCTCGGGAGGAAAAGTTCGTCCCCAGGAAGGGGTCCAGGCTTCTGAGGGGCACGTCGTAGAACATCGCGACGTCGGGGGTTTGGGGTCAACGGTTCAGGCTGCTCGATGGGCGGCAGGGGGCAATAAGGGTTAGGAATGCGTCCAAGACGCAGGCGAAAGCCGAAACGCAACCCCCCTCCTAGCGAGGCAGGAGGATCGATGGTCGCCAGGGGGGCGGGGTTCGGATGTCCATCCTGGACCCTGGCACGGGGTTGCAGTTGAGGTCAGGCAAGTTTGTCGGGTTGACCCAGAAGGGGGTTCAGCGACAAGGGGGTGGTGCAATATATTTGGTGCAATAGCCCTGTGCCCCGGATAATGATGTACCCCCCCTTTCCCCTCGATTTTGTTCCCGTGACAGTCGGAATTAATGGTGGAAGGGGGGCGTGGAGGCCGAACGAAGTTGCGAATCGAAGTTGCTATGATCCCATGTTAACCAGCAACAACATCAAAACTCTGAGCATGGCCATGGTGGTCTCACCACTTCCGCTTCCGCAATCACGAACGTGTGCCAGGGCTCAAGAAGTCTCACCTCCTCAATTCGCCCAAGTCACGAACGCGCGGCAGGGCCATGGGATTCTCATTTTTTCAGTCGTTCCCGAGTCAGGAGCGCGTGGCAGGTCCACGGGAATTGCCACATGCGTTTTTCGAGCAGAAATCACATTGGAGTTACTTTTTTGAGCGGTTCCCTCACACGGTTCGTGGCCCCTTCTCTTCCTCCTCCTCCTCCTCCTCCTCCCCTCCTCCTCGTCCTCCTCCTCCTCCTCCTCCTCCTCCTCCTACTCGGTCCCAGGCCGTCGAGCGCGCAGGCGGCGACCCAGCCTGTCGCGGCCCTGCAAGGAATCGCGAGCGCGAGCTCGAGCGAGATCCTCGAGCGCATGGCCAAGCACGACGAGAAGATCCTCGACAAGCTGTCCTTCATCGCAGACAAGATCTCTATTGCCGAGATGCGCCAACGCCACTCGAGCGCGCAAGGCACTGACGCAGCAAGACTGACGGCCTGCTTTTTTTTCACGGCGGACAGCGCCTTGTGGTCGGTGAGCGCTCAGCAAGCCGTCCTCGAGATGGTATGCAACGGCGGTTCTCTCAAGAACATCGAGTACGGGCACATATTCAACGAGGAAGACATCAGGCGTGTCAAGCTGGCGGTGGCGTTGTTCTACAAGACCCACTGCAAGAATGACGCCGCCCGAGCTTGGACTCGAAGACCCCGGGCTCTCGATCCGAGGATGGAGGATCGAGCCTCGGCGATCGTCGATCGCCCCCGTCGCCGCCCTCGGGCCCGAACCGCCATCAAGGAGGCTCGATCTTCGACCTTCGGATTGAGGATCCGAGGCCTTGGTTCCGAGCACTGTTGATGTCCTTGCATGCTAGATCCGAGGATCGGCATGCTTGGACGCGAAGATCTCGGGCCCGATGTCCGAGCATTCAGGATCGAGCATCGGCGATCGTCGATCTCCGTAGTCGCCATCCTCGGGCCCAGACTGCCATCAAACAGGCTTGTTCCTTCATCTTCGGACCGAGGATCCGAGATTTGGGCTTGAGCATCTGCGAAGACCTCAGATCCTGGATCTGAGGGTCGCCAAGCTTGGACTCGAGGATCCTGGGTTCGTGACCCGAGGATGGAGGATCGAGCCTCGGCGATCGTCGATCGCCCCCGTCGCCGTCCTCGGGCCTGGACCGCAATCGAGGAGGCTCGACCCTCGATCCTCGAATCGAGGATCCGAGATCTTGACACCAAACATCTTTTGAGCGCCTTGTATCCTAGATCCGAGGATCGCCACGGTTGGACTCGAAGATCTCGGGTTCGATATCCGAGGATCGAGGATCGAGCCCTGGCGATCGTTGATCTCCCTCGTCGCCGTCCTCGGGCCCAGACTGCCATCAAGCAGGCTCGATCTTTCATCCTTGAATCGAGGATCCAAGATCTTGGTCTTGGGCATCTGCGAGGACCTCGGATCCTAGATCCGAGGATGGCCGAGCTTGGACTCGAGGGCCCCGGAATCGCGATCCGAGGATCGAGGGTCGAGCCTCGACACCTAGCGGTCACGCGCGCACGCGCGCGCAATTGCGCACACGCACACACAAACACACTCACATAAACGCACACACACAGTCGCACACTCACACACACACATTCAGACACTCACACACTCACACACACAAACACGCGCACACACCCACACACAACAACAAGCATTCAAACGACAGCAGCCGCAACAGCAACAGCAACCAGCAAAGCAACAGCAACAGCAGGTGGCCACAACAGCAACCTGACAAACAACCACAGCACAAACAACAGCTGCGACAACAGCACAGGCCAAGCTCACCGCATCGCCGATGCATCGCCGAGGTCTGCCGATGCATCGCCGAGGCGGCGCGGGCAAGTCGGCGCAATGGTCGCAATCTCTGTAGTGCATGCACTGTTCAGGTCAAGCCCGCTGAGGACGCAAACCTTCCCGTGGCCCATGTAGGATCAAGCATTCCAGGCCCCTTTTCCGGTCCGGCAACGAGGATGTTCGAGTCAGACAGCGCCGATCGTTGGCCTTTCGCTGATCGGCCGGACGGCGAGAGCGTCGTCTCGCCGATGTTCCCCGTCGAGCAAACGCAGGGCGACGAGCGAGCGCCAGAGGGCGCGCAGACTGAGAGCGTCGCGGAGGTGAAGACCGAGGACGGCGTCGAGCAGCGCGAGGAGACGCAACCAACCGCGCTGGAGGGGGACTCCAGCAAGCCCGAGGACAAGAGCCCCGACGACAAGAAGCTCGAGGACAAGAAGCTCAAGCTCGAGGTCCAGCTAGAGAACAAGAAAGCCACGCTGGATGTCATGCTCGGAGGACCAGAAGGCGCAGCTGGAGGGCAAAAGTGACTCCTGCAAGCTTGCGGACGGGAAGCTTCAGCACAACGGCAAGCTCGCGGACAACGCGCGCTTCGAGAAACAGCTCACGGACAAGAAGCTCAAGCCGGACTCCTACAAGGCCGAGCCCGTCAAGAAGCGCATCCGCCTTTGCGGGCCCTCAACGACGAGGCAGCGCGATGCCTTGCGCTCGGTGCCGAGTCCTGCCTCGCCTCCCGCCTCGGCTCCGAGTCCTGACTCAGCCTCGAGGCGCCTCGCGAGTCGGGCAGAGTGAGGACGAGGTGCTGGGGGCTCTCAGCGGGGCGACCACTGGCCTCGGGGACGCCGGAAAACATAGAACAAGAGACAGGGGCCAGAGCAACATAATCGACGACGACAAGAACAAAAGCACACGCAAGCAGCTCAGCGCGCGCAAGCAACAGCAGCAACGACGCGAACACCAGCAACAGCAGCCAGCAAAACAACAACACCACCAACAACATCAGGCACAACATCAATCACAACAGCAGCGCCAGCCACCAGCGCAACAGCAAACCACAACCGCAACAACATAAGCAACAACAGTAAGCGAACAACAAGAAGCTGGCAACGACAAGCTAACGACGCAACGCTGACAACAAGAAGGCAACAGCAAGCAGCGAACAAGGGCAATCCAACAACTGCCAGAGGCCTACAACCTTCCGTAGCCACGTTGGCTCGAGGATTTTCGCTTCGAGCCACTGCAGCTTTGCAGCGGGGCTCCGATGACCGCGCAAGACGGGCTCGTCGAGCCTCTGGGGTCTGGCGAGCTCGCCTTCCGAGGTTGCGAGCTCTCACGCGAAGCTGGGAACCCTCCCTACGAGAGCGCCGAGTCTGCTGTGGACTTCTCCGAGGAACTCGAGGCCGAGAGGCTCGATGCTGAGAAAGCAGAGGAGGATATATTCTTGTCTTCTCCCTCCTCATCCTCCTTTTCCTACTCCTCGTCGCCACTCTCGCCCCCCCCCCCTCCTCTCCCCCCAGGCCCCGAACTTCTTTATCCCAGTTTGTCCCTTTGATTGGGGGGGGGAGATGCGCTGGGCCCCGCCATGGGCGCCCGCCCCTGTATGCGATATTGAAAACGATTGAACATAATCCGTGTTTGCTAATAAAAAACTAAAGCCCCGAACCCAAACATATTGGAACGTCGATCCTGGGGCCATCCTCTGCCCTCGTCCGTCTCCCGCCCTTTTTTTCCTCCCTGCCTTCTGGTGCTCCTGCTCCTCCGAGTACGACGACTACTACTACTACTACCACGACTATTATTATTATTACCACTACTACTACTACTGCTACTACTACTACTACTACTACTACTACTACTACTACTACGACTACTACTACTACTAGTGCTACTACTACTACTACTACTACTACTACTACTACTACTACTACTACTACGACTAGTACGACTACTACGACTACTATTATTACTACGACTACTACTACGACTACTACGACGACTACTACTACTACTACTACTACTACTACGACTACTACTACTACTACTACTACTACTACTACTACTACTACTACTACCACTACAACTTCTACTTCTACCACTACTACTACCACTACTACTACTACTACCACTACTACGACTACTACTACTTCAACCCGCGTAGTATGGATGAGCAACTTCCCCAAGGTTAGATTCTCTTGCACCCGAGGTCCTTCCAAAGACCTTGCATCTTTACCGCGCATCCTTATCGCACGGGCCGGCTGCGCTACAGCCGAAAGACCTTCCAGTCCACCCAGATGTCTAAGAAAGATTGGACATTGGTTGACGAGTTCGCCATTCCGGGGCTGCACGCGAGCGGGCGCAAGGGCCAGCGCTCCCCCGACCAGA